TTAGTCCCACAGATTCTGCTGGACCCATGTTCTCTAGGTGCTGATGCATACTTCCTGTTCACATCTTTCCCAGAGCTTGGGTGGATGAGCCTCACGCTTCATTCTGGAAAAAGAGGCAATGATCTCTGATTGCCATCACCACTCCTGTTCTTATAGTGCACACTCAGCTGTCCCCACAGTCAAAGGAAAAGCAGAATAAGCAAGCAGTAATCAGTAACCTCAAGGCAAAGAAAAAATTAGACTAAGGTCGAATGGAGGCAGGATTTCTGAAAAGGCAATCTGAAGAGTCAAATCTTTCCCTAGAGAAACAACCATTTTAACTGATGGATATTTTTCTTTTAATGCAAAGTATCTGAAATTTTAAAAAGTGTATCCAAAAACTAAGTATTAGTAAAGTAAGACAGCATGAATTTGTGGCATTTGAGCCAAAACTCTACTAACATTTTAGAGTGACTGAAGTCTACTTCTTGTAGTGGTAGCCTCAAATTGGAAATACCTCTCCCACTTAGCTGCCAGCTGGGAATCTCAAATCTTACCCCAGGAGGGATAGGCTGCTCCCCAGAATGTTTAGACCTATTCGAGGCAGACAGGGCCAAAAGATTTAGGGTACAATCAATGAAAGCTCTCACCAACACTGGGAAGACTGAGAATGCTGGGCTGTATCTCCACAATAACTTATCAGAGAGCACTGGTTCTTCTGCAAAAGGACAAGGAAAGAAACCAAGATGCTAACACCCACCCAGCATCTACTCAAAGTGTAAGAGTGTCTTTCTAGAAGGACTGCTTTGCTCTCTTCTCTAGCAACTCCATAGATGAGGCTATAAAATGCATTTCAGTGATTTAAAAGGTTTGAAATCATACCAAATGTGTTCTGACTATGTACATCAGAAAGTAATAAGAATGTAAATATGGAAATAAAAAATACATAGAACACTCACAAATGATCAATATTTAATAGAGAAAATCACAAGAGAAATTTAAAAAATCTTTGAGATGAATGACATAAAAAGCTGTAGAAGAAAAAAAGCAAGAAAGCACTTAGAGGAATATTTATAGTCGTTAGTCTTGTTTTTTTTTTTTAAAGAAGACTCATAAGAATAACTGAATTTCCTATTTAAAGTAACTGTGAAAGAGAAAATAATCTAAATCCAAGTTGATTAGAGCAAAGGAAATAACAGGGATAAAAAGTAAATCAAATCAATACTAGAAAAATAATAATGAAAAGCAACAAAGCTACAAGTTGATTCTTCAAAGATCAATTGGATTGACAGAATTTGAGCTAAAAAAGGCTTGAAGTACTGAAGTCAGAAATTATGAACAAAACATGAGTCCTATGGGTATGACAACAGGTGACACTGAGAGATCCAGGGAGACAGGGAAATCTTCAAGATTGAAGACCCTGCCATGGACAGTGAGCAGGAAACAGCACCAGGAAATTGAAGGTCAGCTTGTGCAGATTCCTTGGGCCCAAGAACTGGAAATGAAGGCAAGAAGCACAAGTGGAAATCAAGATAGGAACCTGCCTGTTAGATTTAGCACCAAAGAAAGACCTGTTGAGAGCACAGAAAGAATCCAGTCATTGGATACAATTCACAACCCTCGGCCAAGCAAATTACCAAGAAGACATGGTATTAATGGTTGAAATATTAAACTGGAGCCTCTGAAGTTCCTAATGTGTAGATTAACAGTTGTCCTAAGAACCTGTGCAACTGGCATTTGGCTTGCTGAAGTGGACTCTGACATTAAGAAAAATCCATCCTCTGGCTGCTGCAAAGTGCAACCTTCCAACCTGAAACCCACCAGGGTTCTCTTTCCTAAGTCTTTCTTTTCATAAAAAGTTATTTCAATGAAATTAAATAAAGACTAGAACAACACATTAATAGATCATCTTTGTAAACAGAAATTTATATGCATAATTTATGTCCCATTATAAATATATAACATGTATATTATGCAGAACTCTAATATATATTCCAACATATATAAATGTATACATTCCAATTACATATATATTTTAATTTCACATAACAAAACAATATCCCTCATTCTCTTTCTCTTTCTGTCTTACAGAAAGTGAAGAAATTTATAAATTAGGGGGAGCTTGGGGATAAGAGTAAAACTGATCAAGATTAATAACTCCACATAGCTATTCCCCAAGATGAATGCAATTATTATGCATTGCAGGCATACACTAATGAAAAAGAAACCAGAAGTTATAGTTTGGGGTATAATAAATCTTTCTATCTAAAATGGCATTACATTTTGTCTTTAGGTCTATGGTTCTCCAGTACTTTTTTTTTTTTTTTTTTTTTGTCTTTTTCCTTTCTATTGGTACCGGGGATCGAACTCACAACTGCCTGCTTGTAAGGCAGGCGCTTATGCTGCTGAGCTAAATCCCCAGCCCCTTTCTTTTTATTTTTAATACAGACTCCTACCTGCTAATGGAAGCATGCATTTGTTGATGCCTTCCTATGTACTTAGACAATATAAGTGTTTACCATACACTATTGAGTGAATTATATGCACAAGGGGAACAGAGTATACAGAGAAGCAGAGACATCTGAAAGTGACTTAGGTGGCAATAAAACCCTAGAACTTACAGACATAGCTTGCTCAGGACTGTGCACCATCCTAACACATCCACGGACATCTCAGAGAAGAAGTCCAGAATACTGGAAGCTGGAAAAAGCTTTAGATGATGGTCATGTTTTTATATATCTGAAAATCACTGGTGTGTCAGGTTTCTGTGGGAAAGTGTACTTAAAAACACACCATGATTCCTATCACATCTGTGCTAACATTGCTCTAAGTGCCAAGCATTTAGGGAAAGGCTACTTCTGCTTTTACTTTAATTGTTCTATAAATTTTTGCACTGGTTAATGGAAATGCTACTCAGATAATATAAATGGCTGCATATGTTGGAAAAATACCTGAGTTCAACAGGAAGAAGTGCTAATAGTAATCGTGATGAATGGTTACAGCTGACTGAATCCCACTTGGAAGACAAGGAGAGTTGCTTTGCAATTATTATTTCTAAGTCTTGAAATATTACCACCACTACAAACATGACAGAAACCAAGTCTATATAAAGATCCAAAAGGCAAATCCTGGGTTTGAACCAAGTTGTATGAATTTCAAACTTCTTGCTCTTTGCAATAATCCTAGAATCTTTAAGGAAAAGCATCTTAGAAGTTTGGAGTTGTGGCTGCTTTAAATTCGGTCCTGCTGACCATGATTCTTCCTGTGGTTCAAAACAGATAAAGTCCTTTTTGCTGATCTTGATTTGCTTCTGAGTCTCTAAGGCTTCTGAAAATGATTGATAAAATAATTCTGTTCCTTATAAGTTTTCTGAGTCATAGTAAATATATTAACACAATTGAACTCTAGAGGAAAATCACGGAGCAATTAGCAGGATGCTGAGTGAAGGGGTTGGAGAGAAAAGAGGCAATGTGGGATGATAAGGTGTCCACAGTTTCTAATATTTTGAAATATCTGGACACATTATTCCAGAAAATGAGAATGAAGAAAAAAACTTCCCTGAGTTACAACATGTGACTCCTTCTATCATATATGCAAATACTCAGTTGAAGTAAACTGAAATACATGCACACTTACATGAGAAAACAAGCTGGATACAATCAGTGTTTTAGTACAGTTCAGTCATTGACCTGGAGCATCTTATTTAACTTCTTGGGACTCCAGAGTCCTTATACATCCTTAACGCAGTGATCTATTCTGTATCCTTTCCCCACCAGTCCAAATGACAATGAAACAGCTATATTCAAATGAAAAGTCACAAATGAGAGGAAAAATAACATAACAACATCTCGCATTTTCAAGAATCTTATAGCCCTGGCAGCTGCTAAATCAGAAAGTGAGGTAGGCAAGTTATCTATGTTTGTATAGATAACCTCAACTCATGCTCCAGAAGTTGTATTAGGCAATTCCTTTGTTACTATTTTTGTCAAAAACAGGAATGACTTGATAGACGAATATTTTCCTTCATTTTTATGATTTTATATTATAATCACTAATATTATTTTATATTAGATGTATTCAATGGGTATTTTTGGTACTTTTTCACCAATGTTGAAAAGATTTTCACCAAAGGAAAAGAATACTTTCACAATTTTTCTTCTGGGTGTTGTGCAATTGGCAATCTTTTGTCTTGTTGTGGTCTTGTAAATGGCACAACTGCTTTGGAATATGGGATGATCATAGTCACCAGAGCTAAACGTGTGAAAAGCATATGCCCCATTGGTATATTCTAAGTACCATTTACATATTTCAACTCTGTTTTAAAATCCACAGAGGTTATATTTACTCTTTGGGAAAGTTTCTATCTTTTTAAAAATATTTTAAAAATCCTATTAATACTGTTCAAGCTGTGCCTAGCTAAGAGCATGAGATGAGAAAGATAATGAAATATGTCACTATCCATGATTATTATACTAACTATATGTCATGTGCTGAATTGTACCTCTAGAAATACTACACTGAATTTCTCATGTTCAGGATCTTTGAATATCACTTTCTTTGGAGATAATCCAGTTAAATCAGGTCACCCTGGACTAGGCAAAACATATTCGAATATGGCCTGTGCCCTTGTGAGAAGAGACATAGACACAGAAGGATGGAACTCTTTGACAATGAAGCCCTGACAGGAATGATGATGCATCTACAAGCCAAGAAATCCTGAGGAATGCTGACAATGCTAGCAATTAAGGGCAAAGAATGGAATAATTTCCACTTTCCTGATGCAGAGAGAGCATTACAGCTTGCCAACTCCATGATTTTGTATTTCCATACTTCATAATTGTAGAATAAATTTAAACTCTTTTTAAGCTACCCAGGGCTTGGTAATTTGCTACAGTAGCCCTAGGAAATGGCACCACACAAGATATATAACCAATGTAACTAAGAAACAAAGACAATTAGTGCATAATTTGGTTGAGACCAGACACCCAAAGAATGTCAAAGCTCTGAAAATGTAGACCTACCTGGTTCTAAACAAGGTGATCAAACCATGAAGTCCTTTCAGTTTTCTCACAACCACCAACCTTCTGCAGTCTTTGAACTTGTTGTGAAATAATTGTGGGTAATTTAAAACATTTAATGATCTTCAGTTCACTTAGCAATTTTCCTTTTGCCAGTCACCATATTGCTCTCTGTTTTGTAGTAATCAAAGAAAATTCTCTTCCGCACGTACTTATTTCTGAAGCATATGCCCACATTCATCTTCTATGTACCTCATATCTGCAAACACAGTGATAAATTAATAAATAAACACGTTATCCAAGGTAGGACAATCAAGTTTAAATTTTCAAACTTTAAAAGATCTTTCATAAGCTTTATTTTTCTTTTTTACTTACATGAAGGGAGATGTAGCTTCAGAGAGAGGAAAAATGGGCCAAGACAGGAAATGAAGGCTTTAGAGAACCCCACATTAATCTAAGCCCTATACTTCATTGTGGTTAAATTCAGATCTACAGTAGATCTCTCATTTCTCACAGACAGTAAGCCATCTTTTTATTTCAAGATCATTCATCAGGACTTCAGGCAAGATGGCAGAGTAATGACCTGCAAAGGAGGAGACTGCAGAGTTCAAGTCTTCAGAAGATAAGGGAGCCGAGATCAAGCCAGCAGGAGGCACATAGAGTGTTGTAGGCGAACAAATTGGATACCAGATGCACAGGCTGAAACCAGCCTGAATTTCAGTGGAAATAAAGGTGCAAGCTTGCTGCGAATACTCACTATCCCTCCATAAAGCTATACCTGGTTTGCTGCGATTAATCGACTCAGATCTAGACTCTATCTGGCCATGTTATCTACCAATGATAGCAGAGACACACCTCAAAGTTGATATTTTTTTCCTTATTTACTTTGTTTTCTGGTCTTTGTTGTTTTTTTCTTGAATGTTCTTTTTATTTGAGTGTGAATATGGTTTCTAGGATTTTTTTGTTATTTTGCTCTGCTCTTTTCCTGTTTTTATTTCTTCCTTGTCTCTTTCTCACCTGCCTCTTTCACCAGTTTCCCAAAGTTTAATCTTCCTTTGTCCTCCAGCTTTTAATCTCTTATTCTATTTCTCTATTTTCTACCTAATCTCTTTTAAATTTTCTCCCCAGAAAGTAAAGTTGCTATATCAAGTGTTTATTTACTGCATACAATGTTCTGGTTCATTTTAGATTTTGTAATATAACCACAAATCTAAGTCATATGGTTAAAGGTGGCAAATTAATTGTTTCCATAGTTTGTCAATTTCTAGGCTGTTTGATGTTACTGTTATTGGTGACCGTACTACTTTAGCCAGGGTGACATAATCATTTAAATCAGATGTTATTCCTGGTATATCAAGATTGAGACTGCCTAAGGGTGATAAACAATAATATAGGGAAGTGTGAGACAACCAGGGCTGGGCTAAGAGAGCAGCAACTTCTCATCCCCAATAAATTGAAGAGATAGGAACTTAAAACAGCCTCAAAACCCAAAAGCCAGCTACACCTGAAAGACACTTCAGAGAAAAAGACATTTCCTAAGGGTTCTAAACACTAGCAATAAAAGCAACTCACCAGAGGAAATTTACAAGCATCAATCCAGGAATTCAACTAAAAATAAAGTAGAAAATGAGAAGATTCTTAAACAAGATGCAATCCAAGATTACACCTCACCAAATGCAAGCCAGAGGGCAGTGGTCATGAAAAGAAAGATTCCTTAAAACCAGGAAAAGACCATAAGAAATCAATCTCGTAGCTGCTAAACGATGTAAAGACTAACATAAGATTGACAGGAGTTGAAAAAGAAGGATAAAGTGCAAATGCAATTTAAAGAGAGAAAAGATTTTCACATGTGTAATGACAGAATATTTCCCAAGGAAAAAAAAAGAATTTGACATCAGGATAAGCAAGGCATGAGGCACTGCAATTACCATCATCAAAAAAAAATCGACACCAACACATAAAAATGCAACACCAGAACAGAATATTAAAAACTGTTAGAGAAAAGAAACAGATCATCTATAAGGGAAAACCCATCAGAATCAGAGCAGACTTCTCAACATAAAACTCAAGTAAAGAGAGCTTGGGATGAAGTATTTCAAGCCCTAAAAGAAAACATTTTCCAACCCAGATTGTTGTACCCCACCAAAATATCTTTCAAAATTGATGGAGAAATAAGATTCTTACATGACAAAGAACACCTGAGGAGATTTATGAACACCAAACCAGCACTCCAGAATGCTCTGAAAGTCCTTCAAGAAACAGATAATGAGAACTTAAAATGCATAAACACTATCAGAAGAAATCTATCAGGCAAGGCAAGTAATTAAGTAGGGGGGTGGATAAAAGGGAACCAACAATAGAAAAATAACATTAGATGAGAATGTCCATACATATCAGTTATAATTATCAATCTTAATGACCTCAATTCTCTAATAAAAAGAAACTGACTGAAAAAATGGATCAAGAAGCATAAAACACATTTAATTCATTAAGAAATTCATATGCTGAAAGTCAAAGTATAGAACAATACTCCATGTGATAAAAACTCTCCCAAAAAAGCAGGAGTAGCTATTCTGTTTGCAGACAAAGTGGATTTCAAGCCAAGCTGATTAAGGAGACAAAGAAACCACTGCATCCTTGTAAAGGGGGCAATTGAAGAGGAACAGTTAACAACCATAAGTATATATGCAATAAATACAAGCATACCCAACTACATAAAGCAAATATTAATGAACATAAAAATCAAATAAACACTAACACATGTGTTAAAGGGGGGACTTTAATACCACACTGTCACAAATAGATCAGCTAGATAAAAAAATCAGCAATGAAATATTAGAACTGATCCAAATTTTTGAACAAATGGACTTAGATGTCTATAGAGTGCTTCATCCCATGACGTGAGAATATACCTTCTTCTCAGCTGCACATGGGATTTTCTTCAAAGTAGAACATATATAAGCTCATAGAACATGCTTATTGCAAAGGAATTGAAATTATCCTGCTCATATTATCAGATCATAATGCAATGAAATTGGAAATCAGTGGCAAAAGAAACCCCAAGGACTTCATAAATACATGGAAATTAAATAACACTCTCCTGAAGAACCAATGTGTCACAGATAATATTAAAGAAGAAATTAGACACTTTATATTATTAATAATGCCAATACAGCAAACCAGAACTTATGGGACACAATGAAATCTGTCCTATGAGAGAAATCTAAGGAGGTAAATATCCGTATCAGAATAGAATGTTCAAATAAACAACCTCATACTAAAACTCAAAATTCTAGAAAAAGAAGATCAAGTGAAGCCCAAATTTCATATAAGAGGAAAAAATAATACAATGGAGACTAAAAAAAGAGTGTCAACAAATCAAAGAGCTGGTTCTATAAAATAGTAAGTAAAATTGACCAACCCTGTGCCGGCCTTATCACAAAAACGAAAGAAAAAACTAAAATCCACACAATTAGGAATGAAAAGGGTGAAATCACGACAGGTCCTCTTGGAATCCAGAAGTTCATTGATACCTATTTTGAGAACATGTATTCTAATAAGACAGAAAACACAAAAGAAATGGACTGATTCCTAGAAACATATGAACTATCAGAGCTGAATCAAGAAAATATAAAATTTTAAAGAAACCAATGTAAGGCAAGGAAATTGAATATGTAATTAAAAACCTATCAACAAAAAAAAAGCCCAGGCCCTGGCAGATTTACCACTGACTTCTTCAAGAAGCTTAGAGAAGAATTAATGCTGCTATTTCTCAAAAGCGAAACAATACTCCTAAATTCATTCCTTGAAGCAACCACTACTTTGACACCAAAACCAAAGAAGGAGCCAACCAAAAAAGAAAACTACAGGCCAATCTCCCTAATGAGTATAGAGGCAAGCATCTTCAATAAGATACTGACACACAAAATGCAGCAAATCATCAAGAAGATTATACATCACAACCTTGGTTTATAAACATGAACCAGAAATGGTTCAACATATTTAAATCAATAAATATAATAAACAATATTAACAAAGTCAAGGACAAATCATCTCAATAAATATAGACAAAGCATTTGATAAAGCCTAACACCAATTCTCAATAAAAACCTTACAGAAAGTTAGAAAAGATGGACTTTATCTCAATCTGATAAACGTCATCTATGACAAAACAACAGCCAACATCATAGTAAATGGACAAAAGTGAAATTTATCACTCTAAAATCAGGAACAAGACAAGAATATCCACTGTCATCATTTTTATTCAGTATTGTTTTGGAAACATTAGCCAGAGCAATTAGATCAAAGAGAGAAATTTTAAAAATAAGAATAGGAAAGGGAGAAGTTAAATTATCATTACTCATGGACAGCATAATGCTCTACACAGAAGACCACAAAAACTCTACCAAAAGACCTCTAATATTATTTACAAAATTCAGCATCATTGCTAGGTACAAAGTCAACACTCAAAACAGTAGCCTAAAGGTATAAAAGATAGCAGACAGGTAACAGCAGGCTACACAGGCTCCCTGGAATAGTCAGCTTAGATTTCAAAATAACACAGCATGGGGAGTCCGGAACACAGGGAGATGAATATTCTCGATCCAGAAAGAAGCTAACATGAGAAGAACCAATCAAACATATATTCCCAGTGCTACAACTGGGAACAGTTAAAGGCTCGGTGCCCCTGCTGCAGCGCCAGTACTTGCACGGCCTTGCCATGACTTACAGAGTTGCCCAAAATCCTGCTGCTTGGAACCACTGGAAATGCAGTCATACTGAGTTTAGGAGTCGGCGAGCCGAAGAGAGAGCTGAGTTGGCAGGGAACTTGCATCAACCTGCAGTGAATGCCTGGAATAAAACCACTCCACAGAAAAAAGGGGCTCCAACAGACCAGAATGGTAAGAACAAGGAGCAGCAGAGACTTCAGTCAATTGCTCCCTTCTCAAACAGGATTGGTGGAATGGGCTTGGGCTCGGTCACGCCCCTGGCCAAGATCCAGTAGGTTAGCCCAAACCAATTCCCTACACCCTGCAAACAAATGCAGTGAAGGCATCAGCAAGTTGACTGACCCAGAGGGGAGGGGCCAGCATACACTGCCCCTGTTTGCATCTCAATAGCACCCTGCAGTTGGCAGGACCATCTAGCCAGCATGCTTCAGAAGAAGAATTATAACCAACAAAGAAATAAACTGGGGCCTTCTATATATACCTATATGGAAGAAACAAACAATATGAGAAGAGGAAACAACAATAAAAAGTCCCTAGCCCCCAACCCTGAGAACATTGATCCAGGAAAGGTAAATATAAAGGAGACTGAGGACAGCAAGCATACAATATCAGGCACGGCACCAGGGGACATAAAGAGATATAGTCAGGACCTCATAGATGAGTTCAAAAGTGAAATATTTAACCAAGTAAAGCAAGATATAAATAGATTAATAAAAGAAATGCTGAGCACCACTCAAGAAGACACATGGAAATGGAAATGGAGGAACAAAAAAAACAGGGGAGAATCTTTTGATGAAGAATATAAAGAAAACAGAGTACATGAAGCAGGTTCAAAGAGATTATCAGGAAATTAAAAACTCCATTGAGAGCTGGCAAAATTGCATGAAAAAAATTAAGGATAGATTATCCAAACTGGAGGACAGGTTTGTAATGTGGGATCATAAAGGAAAAATTTCTTAAAAATAACAAGGAAACAGGCAGTAATAACACAAAGACTAGAAGATGACAAGAGGATCTATAACTTAAGAATAAAGAATGTGAAGGAAGAAGCAAGGGTACAAACAAAGGAACTACTAAGGCTATTCACCGAAATAATTAAGGAAAACTGCCCAAGCATAGGGAAAGGAAATGATATTCAGATGTATGAGGCATACAGAACTCCAGCCACCTACAACCAAAACAGAACTTCACCCAGGCATATAATAATCAAGATCCCAGAAATCCAATATAAAAAGAGTATTAAAAGCTGCCAAAGACAAGAAACAGATTACTTACAAGGGAAAGCCCATCAGAATTATGGCATACTTCTTGACACAAACCATCAAATTAAGATGTGCCTGCAGTGACACACTCCAAGCCTTGAAAGAAAATAACTTCCGGGGCTGGAGATTTAGCTCAGCGGCATAAGCGCCTGCCTTGCAAGCAGGCAGTCGTGAGTTCGATCCCTGGTACCAGGAAAAAGACAAAAGACAAAAAAAAAAAAAAAAAGAAAATAACTTCCAGCCCAGATTGATGTACCCCAAAAAACTATCTCTAGAAATTAATGGAGAAACAAGATGCTTCCAAGGCAAAGAGGAACTGGGGGAATTTGCAACCACCAATCCAACTCTACAGAGAATACTGCAGGACATTCTAAAGAGAGAGAAAAGTACCAGGATTCCAGGAATAGGAGCAGAGAGGCCTCAATGAATGGAGCAGAAAGCAAAATGAAGAAGCCAAACAGACAACTAATGAGGAAAAAGAGCACAACAGAAATGAGGCAGAGAAGATTGGCTATCTCTAATATAGATGGCCTTGATACACTAAATTTAAAAAAAAAGAGAGAATCACAGGCAGAATAGATCAGAAGGTAGGGTCTACTGAGATGCTCTTTATAGGAAATATAATTAACCTGAAAAAGCATATATGGACCGAAACTCAAGTATGAGAAAACAATTCTCTATGTGACAGGGAACCAGAGAGTAATAGGAGCAACTAGACTAGTATTTGAGGATAAGTGGGAAAGACAGACTTTAATAGGTAAAGAAATACAACTAGAGATCAAGTCCAGGAGGGAGAAGGGTCGGAACCACTTAGTAAATAGCAGGTTGCCCCCCCACCCAATTTAAAACCAAGGGTGTTGGTGAGACCCCAAAATGCACAGTATTCCTTGGGGGAGTGAAAGAGGAGGAATAGTCTTAAAAAACATGGCAGGAGATATTATTAATAGTGTATCAGGAATCAAAACCTGTATTACTTGTACTGTTCTGCTTAGATAGAACTTATTCTGTCCCAGTTTGCATACAAGCACTAGATCTGAGGGCACAGAAAACCATCCCAAAAATATCAGGATATAGCACAGTAATCATCTTTAATTTCCTATTAACTTAATCTGTAGCCCTGTATAACTTATACTGTTATATCATGACGGATCTTAGTTAAATCTGGTTTGTTTGATTGCTGGTTGTTATTGACAGATTTTATTCAAAATTGTTATAATTGATAGCATCGAGTCTGAGAGTATAGACATCTATACTGAAAATGATAAGATTCACTACGATATCCATTCTGGTTTGATTACTACCTGTTTTTGAAGTTTTATGCTAAATACAAAGTTGTGTTTCTATCAATATTGTTGTATACTGATATATTCAATTATACTATATCTAGTAATATAGCCAATTCTATTGAAAATAACAAGAGATAACACAGTAACCATGGTAGAACTCCTTATACAGCAGTTTTCTATGTCTTTCGTTTTATATTTCTGTAGGAATATGTTTTGTTCTGTCCTACTTTGTTCTGTTTCCCCCTCTAATATAGAAAGGATAAAAATACATGTTAAGACTCATGCATGCGTAGAACCTATAAACAGTTTATGAGAACTGATCTTATGACACACAATAAAATGAACAAATACTTTAAAGGAAAAAAGACATTACAGTATCCAGTGCTGATCCTGGAGTGTCATGATATGAAATCCAGTAACACTATTATTCTATGTCCAGAGTGACTTTAGTCTGCTTTGATTTGTTTAATCTCAACATAAATGAAGATATGGATAACTGCATATATGTTTAAGTGTACAGGATTGATAACCATATTACTTTGTTAGGTAGTTGAATACAACTATTTGCAATCTCACTGTTTGAATTCCCACTTATATGTTCCACTTTTGCATCTTGAACAATTATTTGTAAGAAAATAATACATAAACATCAACTAGTGATTTATTAGGTTTTTTTTACTTTTTCTTTGAAAGTATGTATTGTATGTACCCGTTTACTGATTTGTTTAGTTTTTCTTTAAATAAAAAAAATAATAAAATAAAACAAAAACAACAATAAAAACACAGTAGCCTTCCTGTACACAAAAATGAACTTACTGAGAGAGAAACTGGGGAAATAACAACTTTTAAAACAGCATCTGAGAAAATGAAATACCTAAAAATCAACTAATGAAGGAAGTAAAAGGCCTCTGCATTGAAAACTACAGCACTCTGAAAAAGGAGATCAAAAAGAATATCAAACAATGGGAAAATATCCCTTATTCTTGGGAAGAAAAAGCCAATACAGTGAATGTGGCCATACTTCCAAAATTGTTACACAGAATTAATAAAATCTCAGTCAAAATTCCAATAGCATATTTCACAAAATGGAGAAAACAACCCTAAAATTCATTTAAAACAAGAAAAGACCTACAATAGCAAAAACAATTCTGGAAAACAAAGGCACGACAAGCATCACAATCCCTGACCTAAAATTATACCACCAGGGTACTATGATAAAATCAGCATGGTACCGGAAAACAAACAAACAAAATACAAAAAAAAAAAAAAACCCTAGAGGGTCAATAAAACAGATTAGAATTTACAAAAACAACCCAGACACACTCTGCCACCTTATCTCTGACAAAAGAGTCAAATACTTTCACTGGAAGAAAGATTGCCTATTTAACAAACGGTGCTAGAAAAACTGGCTTTCCATAAACCAAAGATTAAAATTAGACCAATAACTTTAACCATACACTAAAAAAAAGGGTTAAAGATCTAAATATTTAAACAGAAGCACTAAATCTACTGAAAGAGAGCATAGGTAGAACTCTTGAAGATATAGGTATAGGCAAAATTGTAATGAATAAAACCCCAATCACACAAGAACTATCACAAAGAATCAAAAACTGGAATCTCATCTTATCAAAAAGCGTTTGCACAGCAAAGGAAATCACCAACAGAGTGAAGAGACAACCACGGTGTGGAAAAACATTTTTGCTAGCTGTTCTTCAGACAAAGGACTACTATCTAAAATACACGAATAGCTCAAAAAGTCAGACCCAATCCTGTAATTTTATCTGAAATGAATAGACACTTCTCAGATGAAGAAATAGAAATGGCAAATAAACATATGAAAAAATATTCAACATGACTGATCATTCAAGAGTTGCAAATTGAAACAACATTGAGTGAGAGTCCATCTTACTCCAGAAAGGACAGCCATCATCAAGAACTCAGTCAGCAGCAAACGCTGGCAGGGCAGTGGGGAAAGGGAGTGAGAATGCAGGCTGGTGCAGCCACTATGGAAATTAGGGTGGAGATTCCTCAAAAACTTAAAATTAGAAGACGCATTTGACCCAGGTATTTTCCTTCTTGGTATCTTCCTAAAGGAAGTAAAAGCGTCATCCACAGTGATACACAAACACTCATGTTTATAGAAGCACAGTTTAAAATAACCAAATCTTGAAAACCATCTAAATGTCCATCAGCTCACAAATGAACAAAGAAGATGTGGCTTTTTAATCAATGGAGTATTACTCTGCTATAAAGAAGGATATGCTTCAGACATTTCTAGCTAAATGGATGCATTTGAGACCATACTCTTAAGTGAAATAAATCGGGCACACGTGTAAATATTGCATGGTTTCTCTGGTGTGAGAAATCATAAGTGCAAATAAAGAACAAAATGTATAATAGATATTGGGAAATAGGAAGAAAATGTTCAAATGAGAAGTGCAAAAGGGGAGCGTGGAGGGACAAAGGAAAGAAAGGACAGGGAACAAAGAATAGAAGGAAAAATAGAAACAAAGCTTTTATCAATAAAGAAAAGAACACGGCTTGAAGGGAGGGGAGGGAAATGTGAAAAAAGAAAATGCAAGATATATAATGCACCGGT